AAGGCGTGAGGAGTCAGAGCTGGCGAAAGCCGCGGGGAGGCCCTGAAGCTCGGAGGGGGCGGGGGTGCCCTGAACCGGTGTTTCCCTTCAGCTGTGTCCCTCAGCTCTGCCCCTACACCAACATAGGGTATTTCTTCAGGGCGTTATCGCCTTCTTACTTGGGTTGACGGATGTGCCTGTGAGTGTAGTTTTAGAAATCTTCGCCTTTGGTGGTTAAAAAAGCTATTGCTGCAGCCAAAAGGCGAGCGTGAGTCAGGCCTGTAAGGCACTTGTAGTGGTAACTGGCTTTCGGTAACAGCACTCGTTGTGTGGCCTGTGTGCTGGTTTAGCCTAGGCCTCTGTCACAGGCCTCCCTTCAGCCAGAAAGCAGGCTCTGCAACAAGGAAGCTGGCTTCTTTTTTATTTTACCTTTTTTTGTTTTTTGAATTTAAGGCTAAGTTCCTATTATTGCAATCTGTGGTTTTCTGATGCTCATATTATTGGTTATTCATTGGAACCTCTTCTCTGTTTCTCTCTTCCTTCCCCCTTCAGGAGAGCCTGGTTTTTTTCTGTAGATCATTATGATGCACAACTTTTTCAATAATGCAGAGAGTTTAATTCTCTGCACTCTTTCAGGGGTTGTGTTTGTAATGTTTTCAACTGCTACAGGAAAAACAAAACCCTGAACTTGTGTCCTAACAGAAAAGAAGGAAAAAATGATTTTCAGTTTCCTCTTTTAGAAAGTAACTACGCCCACTTCTGGTTTTGGTTTGGGTTCATAAACAATTAAACGGAAACATTCTAAAATCCAGTGTTCTTCTGTAACTTTTAAGTAGCTTCCTTTTGTTCTTCTTTTGAGGAAATTAAGAGACCTCCACATATTCAAAAAGGTATGCTTGTGTGTAAGAGTTGGCCAGATTTTGGCCACTGTTAATTACACAAAACCTAACAGCTGTCACAAAAAGGAGGCAGTGAGAGGGAGGAATGGTTAAACCATAAATGACACAATGAGTCAGTCCTAGGTGAAGGAAGGACAAAAGGAAGAAACAGTACAAAGTGTAAATCAGTAGTAAAAAACAATCCAAAGGAGATAAATTCTGAGTGAGGGTTTGAAAAGGGAGGCTAGGGAAGAGGCATATAAGATCAGCTTTACTGGTGTGAAAAGAGAAGAAACTGGTTAATGGGCAGAGTGTAAGGACCTAAGATGCTACGCTGCAGGAGATAAACCTGCATACCTGGATAATGGTAATCTACTTCAGTTGTGGCATGCTTCTTTTCGGAATTACTGAACACCTATGACATAAATAATTACAGTATTGAAAAACTTGTAGTTTTAATGACTTTTGTCAAGCTGAATATTTAAAATAATTTTTAGAAAAGAAGGGGGGAAGGAAAAAGGTCTAATCTTGCAGGCCCTTGTTCACACAAGGATTTTCATGCGGCCCTTCCCTTATGGAAAGGAAACAAAAGGGTGTGAAAACCTTGCCAAAAAAACCCCAACAAACAAACCTTGGGATTCTAACACACTCCACACTGCCGCAGTCCTACTGGTGAAACTGGTAGGATTTTATCTAATTTTCACTAGGAATGTAGTAGGAAAAGTAGCATGGTGATGTGAAGATGACATCAGTTGGTAATGAGGTTCATCCCATTACCTTATTCTATCCTGTAAAATATGGCTACCATCAGGAATGCTCTGAAGACAACATTCTGATGCTGACTATGCTCTGGCAAAACTGATTTATTTTAAAGTATTTTTTTGTGTGTGTATCTTCTATTAATAGGATCAGGTGGGTTCCGAAAACGAAAGCATGACAATTTTCCACATGGTCAAAGAAGAGAGGAAAAAGAGAATGTTAATCTGTCTTCACCTTTGATGACATCTTTTAAATGTAAGTAAGCATTTGGAAAGCAAGATTATAAAAACATCTGGTATAGAAATAGCTGGGAAATTACTGGGATTTAGTGATGGAATAAACCAGCTTTCTCTGGGGAGAAACTTGAAACTAGTTGGGCTCATCTTTCATACATTTAGAACTTGGTGTTTTGCTTTTTGTGCAATAAAGTCCTGAGTGTGGGATTTCACATAGCTACGCCTGACTCATGACTTGCTTCCTTTCTCATCCTACCTCCTGTTCTCCCTCTTCACCCCGCTTGCGCTGAACCTTATGCTAAGCAGACTTCAGAAGTGTTCAGCCAGATAAAAGATGACCAGGCCATTTGGTGGCAGAAAACTAAGATATGTAGAAGTGTAATGAGAATCTGAGCCATGGGGACAAGAGGAGGCAATGACTACCTTTAGGGAGACTCAGAGGGCTCTTAGCTGTTGACCTTAGCTCTGGTGCATAGATAACTAAGCTACTTTAATGTAAACCTGGATGCATTGATTGGCGAGTTTGCAGCTGGTTTATATGTATGCTTTTTAAAAATAAGAGTTTAGCTAACTAATACAGACCTGTGTGTAGACACTTCAGTTTGAGTGTTTTATGAAATTAGCTTGTATTTTGCTTTCTTCAAATAATCAAGTTGTTTTCACAGGATTTTGCCTCAACTCATATTTAAAGTACAGTAAATTTAGTTGAACTTTCTCGTTAGAGAAGCCCAAACAAGGCAAAGTTGAGCTTCAGAAATTATAAGCCTTGACAGAAGGAGGAAGGAGATGTGATACAGGGAACAGATTAATTCTTGTTGTAAAATTTTCCCTGTCCCTCCTGTTTCTTATGAAGCTAAGGAGGGTGAAGAAGTAAGAGCTGGATGGCTGTTATAGACGATCACTTCAACGTAATGTAATTGCCTTGCTTTCTTTAAAAGAGCTGTTTCTTTTTTTATCTGTAAGTCAGCTTGGAAGATGATTAACTTTGACCCCTGAACTTTTATATTGAATAATGTACATACACTTGCACTTGAATTGAGTAATTCAACTGTGTTCTTAACTTTTCACTGTCAAGCTTATCAGTTAATCAGTAGGGTACTCTAAAAGATAAATTAAAAAGAAATCAAAAAGCCAAAATGTCTAGAAGAGACTGGGGGCATTGCTAATATTGTCGATCTTCAGAATAGTGAATTTCCTGGTAGGTGAAAGTGGTAAATGATCACTGGAAATGTCACATATAGCACCCTATGAAGTAAAGTAACAGTCAGCCTCCCTCAAGTTTCTGTCACTATGAACTGGGGAAAATTTTTCCTTGATTTTATCTTTTTCAGCGATAGACTTGACTCAGACTTTAGAAGAGACACACCAGATAGACACGTGAAAGATGTAGAAGATCTTCTCCTAGAGCGTCAGAGAAGACTGGGGAGAACAGAACTAAATTAGAGGAACCAAGTTTTTATGAAGGCAATAGGAAATAGTTATTTTTGTAGCTTCAACTGATTTTTGCTTGCCAGCAAACTGCTATGCTTTTCTAAAGGATATTCACTTGGCAGACAGTTTAAGAATGTAACCTCTTAGCTTATTTTCACCATCTTCTCGCATGGACACTTTAGCACCTCAGACAGTTATGAAGGAAATGCGTTAGATTTCTTATAAATATCTGTTAATGGTTTATTTAGTGGAATAATGGTCTCTAAAATGTTAATGGTATCTGTGATACATTCTTAATGTTTGACTGTGATAACCAGATACACATCCTCTCTTCTCTGTGTTCATTATAGTTAGACAGAATTTACATCAGCAAATTGGGAATCTTTCTTTAAATAATTAATCTCACTTTGCTTTAGTACTTCTAGTTCTTAGAGATATTAAAATACTTGACTTTTGGCCAGCTCTGGTTGGGATGTGAAATGCAGCTTTTCTTTTTACAAAATGTTGCATTTCAACAGTATATGTGCTTTAGTCACATGCTTTTGTTTGTTTGTTTTGCTTTAGAGACTGGTGAATCTTATTTACTAATGATTGTAGTGTTCTATTTTTTAATTTATCATGTTGAATTTGGGTGAAATTTCAAGTCGGTTTCCTGAACAGCGGTATTGCAGAATAGATTTTATTGTTTAAAACAAGTACTTTACCTTAAAATTGTTTGGGCTGCCTTAAAGCACCATCGGGGTTATTGTATATTTAAGCCTGAGTTATTAACAGTGATATTAACGATGAATTTTGCAGCTCTGACAGGCAGCTGTAGCCTCCACAGGCTGTGCCCCATGCAGGAGCAGCTGCGCTGCCCACCTTGGCTAGAGGCACCCTGGGGAAAAGGCTGGTGGGGCTGGGGCCCATAAGCAGTTACTGTAGCACAGGCTCTGTGCTATTCCCCTACGCTGTATACATGTGATAACCATATGTGTTACTGTCGTGATTTACTCTGCAGCTTTTCAGCTGGAGCTTGACACCAGGCACGATAAGTATGAACGGCTTGTGAAGCTCAGTCGTGATATAACTATTGAGAGCAAAAGAACAATATTTCTGCTCCACAGGTTTACCAGGTGAGTCACTGAGCATGAAAGTGTTTGTAGAAACCTAGAAGCTGCCTTGCAGTGTCCTCTCTATTTGTGATTAATAGCTGCAAGGCTCTATTGAGAGGAATTTAATTAACTTTCCATAGATGTCCTTTAGGGTAGATGTAAGATAATGCATGCACATTCCAGTTAGAGAATTAAAAGATGCTGGTTCAGGTTTCTCATTTGATTTTATTGGCATATTAAACAGGATCAGAGCAGTAGAGTATAACAGATGAGAGCTTTCCAGCTTTCAGCAAGCTGGGAGAGAAGAGTATGCACCCTTCCTTCAGGTTAGTTACCTCTGCAGTTACTTCCCCATTTTGGGTTTTGCAGCCCCACCCTAGGTCATCCATGCAAAGAGGAGGTGACCTGGGTTCTATTTACTTCAATACATACTGCAGCCTGAGACGCTTTCGTGTTAAGTTTTGAGCATCTACATGTTTCGTGTTCTCATGAGCCTTCAGGCAATCATTGGAAGCCACAAACAAAACAGAAGAATAACAGGAAAATTAGAAGCTTTGCATAGTCTGTTGCATAAAATGTTTACTGGATGTGTCAAACTTTGGTCTTTGGTGTGTTACCGTTATAACAGCCCTCCCTGTTCCTTTTCTCAGATTTATTTTTTGTTACCTGTCAATGCATTTCTGTTATAGTAGTAGCTATTTATAGTTACCATAGTAGTAACAGTTATAAATAGAGATTATGAAGTTGCCCTTTTTTTAACTTGGTTGTGTTCCATGAAGAGATGTTGTGATAATTCTAGTAACTGCTACAACCTTGACTGTAAATAGCTACTCCCACTGCAGGGGCTAGATGGCTGGGAACTGGTAGAGGAAAGAACAACAAACTCCTCCTCTTTACTCTGAATTTTAGATTCCTGTTTTGTAAGACATTCCTGGTTTTGTGAGAGTGGAAGCTTTTCATGCTGTATTTTTATTTCCCTCTCCTTTGCTTTTAGCTATTATTGTGGCTTTACTTTCAGAAATATGTTTGCTTTTAAATGTTTTCTCAAGACTAGTCTATTGGTAGTTCCTTAAATAGACTGTAAACGAATATACCATATAGATTATTCGGAGGTGAGGGAGGTGGAAGTTTAAAGGAAATTAGATCAGCTAAACTTCAAATGCAAAGTATGTATTGTGGTTGTGATTCAGATATTTCAGCAGTTCCTGAATGGCATAGTCCATAGTAACTTCCTAAAAAAAAAATCACATGTAGAAGTAGATCACGTATTGTATTTTGCAATACTGTAATGTATTGCAAAATACCATACATGATATACTGTAATGTGTTGCAATTTTTTTTTTTTTTAGAAGTTGAAGGACTTCTGCAAATACTGCTGGTTTTCCAGGATATTTTTTGAAGCTTTTGCATGTTTCTCATTGTTCTTATGTAAGCAATAATTAAAACTCTAGTCTGGAATAAACAACATGCTACCAGAACTATGTTTGGATGGTGGATTATTTTCATGGGAAAAGTCTACAGAATTTCAGAATCTGCAATAAGTATCAATGAAAGTTCGACTGTTTCTCATTCTGATACCAGTTTTGCTTTTTCCTGAAGCCATTTAAAATCTATTGGTTAGTAAAAGAAAATGTGCAATGTTTTGTAGCTATTTGCTCATATTTTGAAAGCTGCTCTTTCTGTTTCTGTTTTGTGATTGCAGCGCTCCCAATGGGAAAGAAATACTAAATGAATCTGAAGTCAAGCTAGATGCTGTCCGACGGAAGATTAAGGAGGTTGCACAAGAACTGATTGGAGAAGATATGTATCAGTTCCACAGGGCCATATCTCCAGGTGAATTATTTTAAAATAGGGAAAGTATGCTATTTCGCACTGAACTCTGTTTCTCTTTACACAGCAGTAGATCCTTTTCATGCCGCAAGTCTGAATTTGGCACATTTCTATGGAAATAAATTAGGACTTAGATTAATCTTTGCTGTTAGGAGAGTTAGCTCTGGTACTGGAGAGGCTATTGCCCTACAGTCATCTTACCATTGCAGTTAAATGAAGATTTAAATGGGAGATAAAAACTGGAAAAATTCGGATCCTGACCTAAACTGAAGCTAGGAGTAGTTTAAACTAATGTGCTGGCTGGTATTCTCTGACGGAGAGGACTATGTGCAACACACACCTTTACCCCAGCTGTAGGGTTATAATTTCTGGAAGGAAAGTAGGAGCAACTATCTTGTAAAATTACCCCATTTTGAGTTGATAAATTTAATGAATTAAAATCCTTAGATTAGCATTTCCTTTCTTCTAAAGACTCAAAATGTGTTTCTGTCTCTCAGCTTACAAGCCTTATGTCAGTTTGTCTATTTCAATCACGTTTTCTGCTCATCTCTGTAAATAGGTCTTGAGATTCCTTGAGATACTGAGTCCTACTGCTTTCGTGACTCTTGCTGTCAAATCACATTTCTTTACTGAATCTTTGTTGCCAGTTGAAATCTTACCTAAAATTGTTATACCCTGTTAGTGGCAACATAGGAGTAAAATATGTAACTGCTGTTTTGACATCTTGGTCATGGTATAAAAGTGTCTTGTGCTTATCAATCTTGTTTTAAACCTATTGGAGTCCTGTATATTTTTCTTTGTTCAGGCAAGTCGCCTTCAGCTGAGGAGAGCTGAAGAGTTGCCCTGAATGATTAAATTGTTTAAAAATGTCCACAGAATTGATTTGATAAACTAACTGCAAATACATCTGTGTAATCTACAAGACAAATGGTGCACAGGTTAGCTTATACTTATGTCTTAGGCAAACTGAAGTTTGTTAAGAGTGAGACGGCTCTTAAGTGAAAGCTTGGTTTGGCACTTCTGAACCAGAAGGAGCTTGCTATTCTAGTCTTCAATGGCTCTACTTCAGTTCCACAGTCCTTCTACCTGTGGTACATTGGGTTGTTCAAATTAAATATAAGTAGTTAGAAGAGTCACAATCTGTGTGGGTCTTGCTGCTATTTATAGCTTAGTACTATAATGAGGCAATGGAAAGAAAGAGATAATTCAGGATGCTACAGATGACGTCAAACTGTGAACAATACTAGTCCAAGATATTATGAGTTTCTTGAAATGCTGAAAACGTGTTTGAATTTTCACTTTAAGTACTACATATAAAGCTGAAAATCCTTGCATTCAATTGTATGAACAAAATTTTTTGAACGCTTCGTTGAGATTTGTAAACCTTGTCTGAATAACCCTTGAAGCTTGTAGTCTTGTGAGTCATGTAATGCTATCTATAGAACACCTTTTGAGGTCTTCTACCTCATGAATCTTTGTGTGAGACCTTATGAGACAGGCTATCAGCCTTGCCATGTGAGCAAAATTGTTACAGGATAACCAGCTGCCCTGCATCAGCTGCTTCACCTGAACTGTCTCCATTTTCTTAGTACGTGGCTAAATTCAGAGACATACCTCCCTCTGTTTTTTACTGAGGGGCAACTTGGAATTAGTTTGCATTCATCTCAGATGTGATAGAGTACACACCCATGTAGCAGACACATGAAAACTTATCGTGCAATAACTTTGGTGTGTACTCATAAAGCAAATGAGCAAACTTGATGGTAGGTTTCTACTTCCAGATTCTCTCTTCTGAGTTAAAAAAAAAGAGGACTGGTTTTGGTTTTTTAAAAAAACATTTTCCAACGTGAAAAAATATTTTTTTTTAATATGACAGATATGTCAAGTTAAGCTAGCCATAGCAAGCTGAAAATAAGTGAATTAGTGGAAAAATTTCTGTTCACGTTTGCTTTGTGTATTTGGTAAATACTCATACATAATCAGCTACACTGATTCTCCTGCATAATCCATTTCTGACTTGCATAAAGATACCTGCTGATATCAAAATGGACCTGAATAAACTCTTTAGAAAACAACTGAAAATACGCTATTTGGAACAATTCAGCATTTTTATAACTTTTCCCCAGTGGTTTCAATCTCAGCCTCTTAAAGTGACTAAGATGTATTGGTTCATTGAATACCAGGCCAAATTACTATAGACCTCCAGCAGAGGAAGTTAGAGGCCTGCTGCATGTGTATGATGACTCAGTGCCTCCACAGCTGCATAGCTTTTAGAATGGACCAGACTGTTGTAGTTGGAAGGGACCTACAATGCTCATCCAGTCCAACTGCCTGACCAATTCAGGGCTGACCAAAGGTTAAAGAGTGTTATTAAGGGCATTCTCCAAATGCCTTTTAAACACTGAGAGGCTTGGGGCATTGGCCACCTCTCTAGGAAGCCTGTTCCAGTGTTTGACCAACCTCTTGGAAAAGAAATGCTTCCTGATGTCCAGTCTAAACCTCTCCTGGTGCAGCTTTGAACCATTCCCCTGTGCCCTGTCACTGGGTAACAGGGAGAAGGGCTCAGCCCCTCCCCCTCCACTACCCCTCCTCAGGAAGCTGCAGAGAGCAATGAGGTTGCCCCTCACCCTCCTTTTCTCCAAACTAGACAAGCCCAAAGTCTTAGCTGCTCCTCATAGGACATTCCTGCCAGCCCTGTCACCAGCTTTGTTGCCCACCTCTGGATGCATTCAAGGACCTTCACATCCTTCTTAAATTATGGGGCCCAGAACTGCACACAGTTCCATACACAGCAGCACATCCCTAACATTTGCATGGGTCTTGGAGTAAGATTGTCATAGAATTAAAGAGTTTTATTACTGCAGTTGTAAGACAACTTCAAAGAATGAATCTTGCTGACCTCCATAGGTAAAAACAAAGGATGGCAAAGAGGTGTTAATACACTAAATAATAAGGGGGAGGAGAAGTAGACTCTGCTGTGCATCTTTCCAGCAGTCAGGTGTGCAGCCTCTCAAACAAATCCCTGAACTTTGCCGTTTTGTGGACATAACTAAAAGATAGAAATATGCAGCCCCACGTTACATTTCTGGAGTTAGAACTGGGAATGGCTGTACTTTTACCTTTTTCCTCTCTTCAGGTGACATGAGTAAGTGGCAAGTCTGGAGTCTCATGAGTTATATAATAGTGCCTGGCCCTAAGATCTCCCCACTGTTGCTGTAATTAGGTAGTTCTTGCCTTATTAAGAAGACTGTATAAAATCCAACTAAAATAAGTTGACTTCATTCCATTTCTCTGGGTCACCCACAGCATCGTCTTAAGTTCTGGCTCTTCTACATGATGCTTCTCGGTATCAGGAGTTTGTGATAACTGGTGTTCCTTGTGCTTATTTTGTAAGGATGTGTGTTAGAATATATGTGTGTGTGTCCAAGAAGACAGGGAATGCTTTTAGGCATTGTTTAAATGAGCTTGTGTGTATGACAGGTATGAAATGCAAACTTTTAGCCAGAGCTTTACTCTTACCTTACTAATGAAATCCTCCGCTCTCCAGTTAGTCATTGGGATGGCAAGAAAGGGAATATGTAGGCTTAAAGACTTGTAGATACTGATTGTGCTGAGGCTGGGATCATGGAGGTGTCAGATGTGTGAAGATGCTCGATGTCAGTATTATGAAGTTGAGATAGAAAACCTAGAGACATGAAGAATGAGGGGACAGTTAGATAAGGAGCAACTGTGAGAGGGCATGCTTTATTCCCCCTGCCCCCACTGTTTATGAAGAACTGTAATTGGGGGGGAAACAGTGATAAGAGTTAAGAATGTTGCTTTTAGTTTTGTTTTTCAGTCTAGTGTTCTTTAATTGTTGCTTTTTTCACAGTGGAAATAGCTTGCATGCCTTTTTGAAAATAAATGTAGCTAGGAAAAGTGCTAGGTCTTTTTTCTTTGTGTGTTTCCTAAGGCTGTAAGTCTTGACCTTTCTTTTACCCGGTTTTCAATTCTGATTTTGTATATTAAAGAAATTCTGGAGAACTAGTTAAAAAGCTTGCCGTTAAACTGCTTTTTTCGTCAAAAAAATAACGAAACGCCTATATCCCATATCTCAAAAGCAGCATGTCCAATTAACCTCAAACTTCCTAAAAATATTCTCCTTTGTCTTGAAACCAAACACGAAACATCCTCCTGTTCCCCACCCTACCTCTCACAGAAAGAGTAAAAGGGATCAAAACTGGGCTTATAATGGAAACCATCGTAGCAAGCCTTAACTGGGGAATCATGACTGTCTGCATAATAAAGCTACCTAATACATATTTTATTCACTATAATAACTGTTAGCCTATAAATAGAAGAGCGCTATGAGTATAATGCTTGGGAATATTGTTTGCCACTTGTAATTGTTAAGTGCTTTTTTTGGGGTTACTCCAAGCAGTTGTTCTTTTGACTTGAAGATAAAACAATTCTGGCAGAGCACTAAAGGAGTTTCATGCTTTCCCTCATTAAGAATAGTGCTAATGGCACGCAGGTCGTTTCCCCAAAGGACACTTGCATGAGCTCAAACACTGAGTATAGCACTAATTGAACAACAACAAAAACTGATGACTGTTTTCTACACGTTTCTTAACAGTACAGATTGTCCCAGGGGATGATTAAACAAGCAAACAAAGAGATACTGACATAATGAAGTCTTTTTTTTTATGTAGAGCTCTTCATTTGTTATGTTAGAATGTTCTGCTTTGTTGATATTTTTAAAGCTTTACTATTTGTAATATAGAATTCCTGCTCCTTTGCCCCACTTTGCAATGTGTACCTTATATATCCTGTGAGGAAATGCATACTGTTTCTTTAAAATGGTTATGAGATGCTGCAAGAAAAGGACTGAAAAAAATTGTATGAATTTATGAAAAGGAGGAAGAAATTTTTCGGGATTTTATATATGTATGTATGTATGTGTGTTTGGATGTTTATATATCTCTATATATAGATAAATACAGATATATAAGCTCTTAAATGCT